TCGCATAAGTCTAAGCTCGGCTCCCGGTTGAACAGCTCGAACATTGATTCTAACAGCTCGGATGTTCACTCCAACAGCCCGGGCGCCTTACTAATTGCTCGGACATCTTCTTCAACAGCTCGGCTCCCAGTCAGACAGGTCGGAAGCCTCTTCCTATCAATTAGCGGCGTGTTGATCAGCTCAGGCAAGCTCAGGACGGTGTTGCTTAGAGGATACAATGTGCTCGGGGACTAGCTGTAGGGGTATGACCCCGATACCCAGAGGGTTGTACATGGACCGAGCCGCTAGGGGAGGCCCAGCCCACAAGGCTACGCATGGGTCGCGCTACTAGTGGAGGCTCAGCTTACAAGACGGCGCCGCGTTAAGCACGACATAGGTCGGCGTGTCTCGCAACATTGCGTGAAGATCACGTAATATCTGTAACTTTCTATCTTATAAATCGATCAGGATATAAACAACCGATCTGTAACCCTACCCCGGGCTATATATAAGGGTAGGGACCCCCTCATTTTCATCTGATCATACACAATACAATCCACCGAAAGACACATGATGTAGGATATTACGCCAAGTCAGCGGCCAGAACCTATCTAATCGTTGTCTCTTGCGTTCTGTGTCACCTTCCGGTTCCCTCACGCGCACCTCCACCGATTCATCTACTACCGTGGACATATCCCTCGATAGACTGCCGACCATATTTCGTTGACACCGGCTTCGTCGGCTCATGTACAGGAGTCTGCGCAATTCAACGTCTTGTCGACTTAGAGAGGCGAACACTATATATCAAGGATGCAATGACGGTTGTGGGCTATTGCGGCAGAATGGGGAGTGGATCGAGCTCGAGCTTCCCTCAGCGACTTTCAATAGCGAGCTTTGATCCATGGTCAGAGAAGCTCAGGTTCAATCCTCGACCGATGCTTCTTCAGCGATAGCTTTAGCCCGTCCATGATTACGGGTGTCTACTGCGGCAAGTCAAAGATTCTTTGTGATGGGGCTTCTCCAAATCTGTGACGCTTTGGGAGCTCTCGACGTCGGTGATGGCTGGCGGTGGAGTTCTCCGACGCGTTTGGTTTGCTCGGTGGCTAGGGGCTTATTTGTTATTTCTGTTTTCTATAGGGGCTTCTGTGCAAGGTTATTGGAACATCGTCTAACCTATATTGGTACGTTTATTTAGACATGGGAAAATACCCAATACCCATTACCCGAACCCGAACTACCTGAATTCGTACCTGAACTACCCAAATCCGATCTACCTAATCATAATTTCGGATAGTAACTACGGATACCCAAAATAATTTCGGGTAATTTGGGTAATGACTCCCAGTACCCGAATTTACCTGTACTACCCGATGTCCCAGTTCAAACCCAGTGCCCTTGACCCCACTAATCCAATTCATGGGCTAATAGCTGGCCCACTGCAGCACCTCAACCAGTCCACCTCCAGTCCACGCCTCCACACGGCACCAGTCCCAAATCCGGACCGCAATCCCCGATGGCCCGATGCCCCGCCGATCCTAGCCGACAGTCAAGGGCGAGCCACAACCCAACGCGGTGACGTACGAGGACAAGGCGGCAAGGTGTGAGCGTGACCTGCAGGTTCGTATGATAAAAAAATGGTCACGGATACCAAAAACCCCTGGCTCCCCAAAACCTCCACCCTTCATTGACATCCACGAAACCAATACCCAAACCCAAACCGAACTACCTGAATCCATACCAGAACTACCCAAATCCGATCTACCCAATCATAATTTCAGATAGTAACTATGGATACCCGAAATAATTTCGGGTAATTTGGGTAATGACTCCCGGTACTCGAATTTACCTGTACTACCCGATGTCCCAGTTCAGATCCAGTGCCCCAGACCCCACTAATCCAATTCATGGGCTAATAGCCAGCCCACTGCAGCGCCTCAACTAGTCCACCTCCAGTCCGCGTCTCCACATGGCACCAGTCCCAAATCCGGACCGCAATCCCCGACGGCCCGATGCCCCGCCGATCCTAGCCGGCAGTCGAGGGCGAGCGACCGCCCGACGCGGTGACGTACGAGGACAAGGCGGCGAGGTGCGAGCGTGACCTGCAGGTTCGTATGATAAACTAGGTAGTATGCCCGTGCATTGCTACGGGACAACAAAACTTTTGTACTAAAAACACACGGATCGTACGATAAGATAACAATACTGTGAAATTAACTACCGACGTTAAAGTGACATTTAATCTAAAAAGGCAAAGCTTGTAAAATTAACACAGTCACGGAGAGCGTGGCGTCACAGGCTCACTGTCACGCACGTGTCTATTAAACATATTTTTTCTACAATGGATGAATAACGAAAAAGAATGTGAAATCAGTTCCTATATACGGTAGGAAAAAATTCGACCATCCAAGACATGGATGTCAGAGGAGATTACCGAGCTCCATGCACTATGTCCAGTCCAGTCCCGTTTTTCTGTCCCTGTTCTCGTTCTCCTACTGCAACATGATTTCATGGATCCTGTATTCCTGTCCCCGTTCCCGTTGAGCACAGAATGGAGACCCTTCTCAGGGTTCAGGCCTCAGGGGAAAGGAAAAGCAGACAAGTGATATCTTGCAGCAGTCACACGGCCTCTTGTAATCGACATGTTAACTGAACATCAAGAGTGGGGTTCAGCCATAGTTCACGCAAGTGGCCAGCACTATTATTACAGTTTCAGTACAGGACAAGGCATCAAATACGGGTACTGGTTTTAGAGTAATATTAATTATTAGCCCCTTGATCCAAAAACACCCCCATTTGCAGGCTTCTACATTGTAAACGCACGCTCACTGTCACTGATGAACTGCAGTAATACATCAAGGGACAACCCACCATGCTTCCAAAAATGCAACATGCCAAGATACAACGTTAGATTGATTTTGCTACAAAAGCCATCAAAACCCAATGGTCCGTACAACCTAAACTCTACAAATGATTTGAGTTGAATTAGCATTCACCATCACCATGATCCATGATAGAACCAGTGTGGAGATCTACATGAAACAGAGCCTAAAGTTTTGCAGATCAAATAAGTTGCATTATCCCATGTAAAGTAGCTAACCATAAGTTCCAATTTTTATTATTCAGTGAGCTAATCACATTGATCTCAAATTCTCAATTCAACCACCAAATCCAGGTCATCATCCTCTTTAGTTGCCTGATCATCTATTTGTCAAAATGAGGCAATGTCCACTGATTAAATTTGGATGATGAGCTAGAGTTGGAAGATGATCAGGCAAATACCATTGTACACCTGCATGCTGATTGTGGTTCTTGAAAAGGCAATCATTGATGAGCACAAATGATAAGGCCATATCAAAATATTTAGAATCACCACAATAGAACAATCCATATGACTTTTTATACCTGTTTGAACATGCACTAGCGTTTTATATCCATGAACTCCCATTTCAATACATTGACATTCTCTCAAATATTAATTCCTCTTAGTAGCCAATATTTTTAAGAAACAAGGAATAAAATTATTTGCCAATCCACGGACACCCTATTACATGTATCTTTAATTTGTTAACTGAATCAAAGTGTTGAAATCAAAGCCAATTAATTTCAATAATCCACTCACACAACGTGAACAATAAAAAACAGAAATTCAATTTTTACTCCTATAGCATAATACCAAAGGCACAATATTTATATTATTAATAATGAAGTATGCACAAAATTTAGAAGCACTGAACCTGTCTGGGCATTCCATCAAACGCACGGGAATAAGAAACTTTTTCTTCGATACCCGCATTGTCATCCAGAAACTATAACATCATGTGTCTTTTTGCTCGACTGCAAGTAACAAAACAAATTGCTTTAAACCTAGCCAAACTGTTATGAATAAAAAACAAGTCAAAAACCATGTTTGGAACTGAAGTAAACACAGTGTAAAAAATTGGACAGGCTGAGATGACACATACATCGGCTCTGTGCTGCTGGACACCGTGCCAATATGGTTGGTAGTTAGTGGCTCTCAGGAGCAGTTGGATAGGATGCCATAATCCACAGTTCAATCTTATCAAAATCCTAGCAAAACCGTATCCTACAAGTGTACCTGACATGTGCATAATGCATGAAAATAGAAGATCTTAAATAGACAAAATCAATCGCAAGATCAAAAGAATTGCTGGAGTTCCCATACCTTGAATTGCGTAATAGATGCTCCTGGATGGCAGGATCGAGGCCACCTCCTGGATAATATGGGCTCTTGCATTGCATCACTTGCACATGGTGTTTTGCATCAGCGGTAGAAATAGTGACCATTTACCATTATAATCATATAATTAATACTTTCAGTAAGTGTGAAATTCTGATTTTTTATCTAGAGTTGTACTAAGTGCGAAATGTGTGTAGACACATTGGTTGACACAAAAGATTTAGTAGTGCATCTCAAGCAAAAAGAAGGTAATTTAGCCACAAGAGCTTTCATTTGAGTACACGTGCACCTGTAGTTCTGCATCAAGCCTTACACTTGCTGTTGATGTTGATCTCCATGACAGACAGAGAGTTATATATGCGCAGATGTTCTTCACATCACCAACAAGCGACAAGCACGTTGACCTGCGGCATTGCCAAGGAACCAAATCACCAGTGGAAAGCTAAAGGCATTTCCTGCTACTGCTACTGCTAGATATGGGCCCGTTCAGCTTGCGGAAACTTGGCTGAATTGGCTGAAAAACATTGTTCTGGCTGAATTGTTGTGAGAGAAAAACACTGTCCGGCTGAGAAAAAAAAACTGAATAGTGCGGATTATAAAGTAAGCCGAACGGGGCCCATGATCTGCTTGCAGTCAACTTGATTGTCAGCAGGTTGATATGACAATTCAACGAAAGATACTTAGGCTCGTGAACAGTTAGAAACCAGGCTCACTTCCGCTAATCAACCCTGATGCGACTGCAGATCTCCGAGCACTCTAATAGAGTAGGCGCATGAACAACAAACGGTTGAATTTCAACTCACTTTTGTCATAACTAGAAAGAATGGAGAGCTGCAGGTACCCAGCTGCTACCATCCCTCTGTATGTCCTCCGCCCTGCCCTTTTGTTGATTCCTACACAGCAGAAACAAAACACATCAATCACCAAACCGAACCGCAGCATCGGCTATAAAATCGCATTAAAAACGTGTGAAATCTTTTTGATTGAAGACTGAAATTTGATTCGGTGAAGCTGATATATTTCAATGAGAAAACCAAATCAAACGAGATAAATGAAATTTTGATTGCGGCACCTTCATTGCCCTCCCAATACCCCTTCCGATCCGACGGCGTCGCAGACGAAGCTCAAATCGTCTTCCATCCTAGCTTGGGTGGGAGGCAACCTGTTCCCCACATACTCTTCGACCCAGGCACTCTCGGCGTCGAGCTCCTGCAGCAGCCCCCCCGCGCCGCGTCCTCCTCCTCGCGCAGCCACCCACGACGCGTTCTCCGCGACCTCCTTCTCGCGGAGCAGCCACGCCTCCGCCTGCTAAATTCAACATGTCTGATAACATATTTTTAATTTAACATGTCTTATAATTATCGATGAACAACGTAGATTAAGCAATATATTTATAGATGTATGATAATTATCCAAGAACAATATAGATTAAAAAAGTAATATATTCGTTTTCTTTTCTCACCCGTGACAAATGTTTCTTAGGTAACTTTTTAAAATTCTAACATCTAAATTAGAAGAAAAATATGACTATATGGGTACAAAGTATTAGAAATCTAGAATACTATACAAATAATTTATTTGGATTAAAAATAAAAAGAAAAAAAATACCTTGGGGCGCCTAAACAACTGATCGGTGATCGCAATTCATAAGAAGCCAAGAATCAAGATGTCGTCGTCGTGGAGCCCTGCCTGGTCGCCGTCCTCGTGCGCCGTGTCCGTCTCTCCGATAGTCTAGCTCTTCGCGGCCGCGCGGCTCGCCAGCTCCGCGTGTGTAAGGCGCACGTCGCGAATTCACGATCATAGTGTGTTGTGTGTAGCGTGACTCCTCGCCTCCTCCCTACCCGAGGGTCATGGGGAAAGAAAACTAGGAAAGAAATGCCGATGTTGTTTTTTTGGGCCGCCTGGCCAGTTCTATGTTTCTCTTCTCATTAGTTTGCTAATGCCTAATAGATTATAGGACCTGGGGGTTTGTATATCTGGGTTTGGATCCTCGGCCGTCGCACCTCATGCCCTACCTCTAGGGCCGGCACTGTGTACAGTTAAATTTTATTCTCTTCTAGTTCTATTTAAATTTCTGCCAATGCTATTAGATAAACTAGTTCTACTTCTAAGCTACAGAAGAACAATGTGCTTTTGCAGGAAGGTAAGGAAATTAGGAAAGAAATGTCGATGTTGTTTTTTTGGGCCGCCTGGCCAGTTCTATGTTTCTCTTCTCATTAGTTTGCTAATACCTAATAGATTATAGGACCTGGGGGTTTGTATATCTGGGTTTGGATCCTCGGCCGTCGCACCTCATGTCCTACCTCTAGGGCCGGCACTGTGTACAGTTAAATTTTGTTCTCTTCTAGTTCTATTTAAATTTCTGCCAATGCTATTAGATAAACTAGTTCTACTTCTAAGCTGCAGAAGAACAATGTGTTTTTGCAGGAAGGTATAGTTTATGTTGTTTATGATGTTCTATTCTATGCAAGGCATTGTACAAACTTGTTATAAGAAGGCTTATAATTGTTAATTAAAGTATCCTGCTGTTTCTTCTAGATTGTGGTAAAAATAAGAATGTGTTCTTACTAAACTTCTGCATATAGAAAATTAGCCGGACAATTAGGGCCAGATTAAAAGGTTAATAACTGACTATGGTTGTTTGGTTTGTTTATCTACTATTCTGCCCCAAACATCCAGCAGTAGCATATGTTTGTTTCATCATGATGAATTGAACTTCAGCCCTATTGTACATATTTCGTTCTATCAATATTTGGCTCAAAATTGTTTTTAAATTTGTTATTATCTATATCACAGCTGTACGTTATGCAATATCCTCTGAGGCCAGGCGCCCGTATGAGTTAAATGAGATATGTGAAGAGGTACATCCCCCATTAACTTCATATACTCTTTTGCTGTTGCAAATTTCTATTATTTAACATATATTTATCTTAAGTAGCTAAAGGATTATGAATATATCAGGTTTGTGTGAAGCCATTGAGTTCAGAAGTTGAAATTGATTTGAGTGTCAATACACCGAGTGAAAATTATGACCAAGAGGCACCTTTGAGACTGACAAAACAGGTGAGTTTATTTCAATCTTGCAAAATCACATGACAGTCTTTAAATGTACTTATGAACTTCAAGGCGAAGTTTAATTATCTGTGATACCCTCAGGCAAAGTTGAAGAATTGTGCTCACTTGTTGGTTGAATCTGATTAGTGTCGTTGCAATTATCCTATTTTTATGTTCAATGCCTGGGCACTTGCATGATTGTTGTTTTCTTGATGAACCTTAGATTTGTCCTTAGTTGTGTGATGGTCACTTCAGTTGGTGCACCTTACTTTTGTTCTTTATGAGAACTTGATCTTCCTTCATGACTATGTTTTTTACCATTTTGACTGTTCCCTGCTCTTTGTGCTTGTTGGAAGTGATTTATGAACTTCCTGCTCATTGTTTGTACAAAATAACATCTACTCCCTCCATAAAAAAAAACTTGTTACAATTTTAAGACAGTGAAGGTAAATTACCTAGGTGCCCCTATTAATTGATGTCTTTTGGTTTCATTTGCCGTGTGACTGAAGGGACACATGCAGCCTCCACTAGTTATTACTCGTGTGCATGCATGCATGCGGTTGGAAGAGAGGGAGGTTGATTTAATGTATGTGGGCTCCACTGAGTCACTGACTGTCTAAGTGCTACAGTGACATGTTTTGTGGGTCAAAATTTGAATCCTTGAATGCTCATGTTTTTTTGGGATGGAGGTAACAATTTGTTTTGTTTTACTATTGCATAATCTTGATGTGAAGTATGACAGGGATTTTCAGATCCAGCTTTAGCTTAGAGTAAAGATTGGCTATTTTCTTTTCCATCAAGTAACGATAAAAACCCTTGTTGAGACTGAGTTGTGTATGCTCCTGTGTACTAGTTTTAGAGTATCAATCTGCAGAAAATATCAATCTGTCCTGTTCTTGTGGTGCAACAGCTGGCTGCCAGCGCCATCGTGTCATTCCTTCATTTTGTGTTGATGAGATTTTACTTGCTTTTAGCATAACTTACCTTTTGAAATGTGATATGACCTGCATGTTTCACACTGGTTTAGTAGTATTATGATTGTGTTATTTGATGGCAAGTTTGAGATACTTTAGCCGTGCTGCATAATCTAGATACTCATAAGAATAGTTACCTTTGTAGTAAAATACTGCTATTTTCTAGTTAGATATTTCGCACGTATTTATATTTTGGTGTCTTTTGTTGAGTTTCATCTTTACCATCGTTCAATGATTTTAATACCAAAGAGCCAACATAAAAAGGCAACCACCTGTATGAACTATGAAGATGGAACAGAAAAAGAACCAGCAATGAACTGAAGGTTTTTTCAAAAAGCTACTACTAGTATTATGCTAAATGGGAAAACGAATTAGATTCTCTAGAGAGTCTGCTTAGTTACTAGTTCTGAACAAAATATGGATGCCCCTTTGGTATGTTCCATCTTGTATCTTGTTGTATACTATCTCGTGTCGGGTCCAATACTTTATGCTTTGTACATGCATGCGGTCATATTTTGTAAGATTTGAATATGACCGTATTTTAAAATATTTAAATAGGAAGAATCAATTCAATGTTTTTTTGTGTTTTATATACAATATTGCACTCTCCAGCCCGGTAAACAATGGTGTTTTAGACAATGACACGAAGTGTAACTTTGACTATTATGTCCTGTATGAATATTTCTGCAAAATAGTGAAAATATCACAAAGTCATGATATTATGAAAATACTTTCTGAGACAAGTCTGCATATGATTCTTTCAGTCTATATAGTTTGAAAGAGAATCTAAGTTTCAAAAATTGGCTGGCACCATGACCAAATTCCCAGTTTCTGTGACAGGACACAGGAGAACAATATAAGTTGGTTAAGTTGTGTTTTAATGATGGTGCCTGTTTTAAAATTGCCAAGTGTACGTGACCAAAGTGATAATCATAATAAACTGTAACTTTGCTAGTTGAGTTAATATAATGTTCTTCTCTAGCACTTGTGATGGTATCTTAAATGGATAAAATTGTTCTGCTCCCATGCAAATAATTTTATTGCATATTTTGTTTATATATATCATTGATATTATGTTTTTTTGTCCTTATTTTGTGTTTTTAAAAAGACACTATCATCATCCAAGGCAGCTGATGTTACTGATTACGCAGTTGGTGTTCTTAAAGGCAACTTGGTAAGTAATATGACAGCTTCTCTGGTTCTTGGTTTCTGTTGGCAAAGTGTTTATGAGTAGCTAGGCTGTAGCCTAGGGAATTGTGGCATTGCATATTTAGAATACTGTGGTAACAATAATGAAGCAAATTTTAAATGTCCTAAATGTTCGATACTGCTTATTTTGATTGTATTAGTTTATTTCAGGGTCAGTTTAGCTTCTTGCCTGCGTATTAAGGTGCTGCCTTCCTATCTGATATAAATTGTTCAGCAATGAGCCCCTGGGTTATGTAACTTCTGATTGCTTCTTACACATTAATCTTTTATATTGTGCCCATACTCATGTTGAAACATTCTGTCGTAGCTGATGTAAACATCAGTCAGAGATAGGGCTAGAACTTGTTTGTTACTGTTATTACATTATACTTCTGATTGACTCTGTTCCCCTGAACAATCCCCTTTCCCCAAGCTACCCCCACGGTTCCAGTGGTATTGAGTTTGTGGCCTAACTAGCTTGTCATTTATGTCTAGCAATTTGTAATCCAAAACTTGGAACACATTTCCATTTTTTCTTTGCCACCAGAGAGAACTTGTCCGCTGGTAGTCTAGTATCCTACTAGGACACATGGAATAATTACTAGCATTAGATGTTTATTTGATATGATTTTCTTTGGGGTCAATCTCTTGCGTTGTTTTACAGGTTCATTTGAATCATATTGATGCAGTGGTGCAAATGCGACCATCAATGTCACATGTTATTTCTGGCCGGGCACATACTAGGCAGGCTTCACAACCCCGGGAAATGAATGGTGGTGATAGTGGATCAATGGATTCATCTCGTAAGGTGTTGTAACATTCTCTGTCTGTCAGATTTAGTACCATTTCTTGCTGTAAAGGTTTACTGACTTGAAATTATGATATGATCTGGTTAGCTGTTTTCTTCTTTTGCTGTAGCCCTTTCAGTATGTCCATTATGTGTAAAATTTTGTCTTGTTCAATACTTGGTCCAATTATTTGAAACATCTAGAGTCTAATTGCCTGCAATTATGAGCTGGATTTTTTGTTTGCATGGAATAAGAGTTACTCATCACTCGCTTTTTTATCCGAAATGCCAAGGAGAATAGATTAATACAGCATTGGAATATGGCCTGACATGTTTTGTCCCTGATTTCTCTAATAAACGTTTTATTACTTCTTCCCCTTGCTAATGTCAGACTATTTTGTTTTCCTAATGTTGAGTTGTCCATTTTTTGGTTGATGAGCTGCTACTTTCTGTTGTGATTATTTTGGTCAGTTACTGATAAAAGAAGTGCCACTATTAGTAGGTTAGTGTAGCTTCTTGTGCTATGGTCTATTCATGATCATGTCTTGTGCTTACAGGGAAATGAGCGCCCCGAAGACTCCAAGGACCAAGCAGAAGATTCTGAGGTTTGAAATAATGTTATCATTTTTATTTCTTATTTTCTTAGAAATTTGTTGTGTAGCTAGTTTTCATGATCACTTTTGGTACTGTTATGTTCTATTTTATCATATCTGCTGAGGGGTCTTGTACTTTTGCGACATTAGTTGTGTTAGTCAAATTTGCTTTTGATGATCATTGCATTGTAACTTGGTTAAAATTCATAGTATTTTTGTACCTTTCTTCTGTTGCTTAAACTTAAAAGCTATTCTTAACAATGTCATGCTCTTCTGTTGTTGCAGCCATGGATTTCTCTTGCCTACCAACCAGCAGGGAGCAATATTGCAACTAAGTACCATGATAAGATGATATCAAATGAGGGTGCGCCTATTGATTTCACAATGAGCACGTGAGTGTCTTCAAGGTTTTTTATCATTGTCTTCTAAAAAAGTGGTTTGATATTAGTACTGCAGCCTTCTTTGCGGACCTTTTCCTTTTATTTAATGGATATATGCGCACACTAGAACTAGTATTCCAATCCCAAAAGTTTTCTTACATTGTCATGGTCGAAATGCGTCTTTCACCAATATTTTATAATGTAATATATACATAGTTCCTCACTAAAATTATTAGTATGGAGTACTTTTTGAATGCTATTATGCCCAGTTTAAATACTCAAATATATCATTGATAACGGAAGTATTAAGGTGCATAAGTACATAAACATGAGTACATGACTTATTCTGGGGAGGATTATGTGCAACTTCAAAAAATAGCAGATTTACCAATATTGAGCCCACAGATTAGATCAAAATTGGCATAAACTAGAAACTGATGTGGCCTTGATTTGTAGGATTGAGTGATGGATTATCTATTATCTTTTGCTGTTTGCAACAAATTAATCTAAATGGATCCAATAAGATTAGTCTGCTAAATTGCAAACAACTGCTACTTGCTTTCAGTTTCCATTGGTTCCTGTTTGCTTGCCACTTCATTTCTAGCAAAGCACCATTGCTGTTGCTGCTCGGTTGTTATAAAGGCAAGTGGCAAGGTGGCATGACATATAACTGATGCCTAATTACCACTAAGCCGGCATCAAGATGTTAGGCAGAAATGTGGTGCCTAGCGCTTAGGCTCGGTAGATGCTGATTTGCCTGCCTAGGTCCACTTTTGAGCACAGGATTGTCAATGCATGAATAGGAAAAACTAATGATTAGAGTGGAATAGCTTATTGAATCCTTTGGAATCAATACATGAATTGCTCACCAGGTTGCTTGATTTGATCCATAATGGCCAAAAATAAGTGTACAATGTTGAGATTTGTAGTTTCCACATTTATGGATCAGGAGCTTTGATTCTAAATCTGTCACATTCATAATATTGAAGTGGTGAGACTACAAAAATGCTACATGTAGTGATCTTTTGTCTAAAACAGGCTTGGCGTAGGCTAGATACTGATACCGCAACAGGAGCTGAAAGCATAGAATATCTGAATTAAAAAAAAAGTTGTAATATTAATAATAGTCGGCCACTATCCTAGCTCACGGTTTGGGCACATGGAGTGCTAAGTTTCATGTGCTCCAGATAATTAAACATTCCAAGTCTCCCTTTACTGCATCCACCCACTTAATATGCATTGTAATGGAAAGATAACAATGCAACAACTTACTAGCATAATTGCAATATCTACATTGGTATCAATATTCAACTTTATTTCGTCAGCATCTTATTTCTCCTTATTTGCTGTGTTATCATCAATGCCTGGGGTGATGTGAATTTTTATCAAACGATCAGCCTTTTTACCTACCTTGTTAAAAACTGATCCTGTCTTGTTTTTCAGCTCTGATTATGTAACGTCCTTATGTCCTGAAGCCTCGACTAGCAGCAAGCATATCAACAAATGCCAAGCAATAAGGTGCAGTATGCATCATTTCCCTATTCTTCTTTTGCTTTGGTTAGAGAAACTGTGAGTGGTGGACCAGCTCACCTTTGCACTTATCCTATGATAATGGTAATATTGAGTGCTTCTTTTCTTTTCATTTATGATTTTGTAAAGGCTATTTTCTCTGCTTTTTTCAAGAGAACTAGAACTCTGCATATTGTTAGTTGAAAAATACAAATAGGGGAAAAGCATATATGTAAGTATGGTATGAATAATGGTGTCAAAGAAAAATATAATTCTACGAACCATTAAATGAAGAAATTTGGTGACAACACTAAGTGGGATAAAAGCTAATACGTATCTTATTATGACTTCCTGTCATGACCCTGGAGCCCTGGGCGCGCTTATGCGCTGGGCGACGGGGTACCGCCTCGCCTAGGGGGGTAGGCGGGTACCTAGGCGTCTGCCTAACTGTTGCCGGCGAAAGGCAGCCAGATCCGCCAAGGCAGGGACCTGTGGGGGCGGCGCGGAGGTCGGGAGACGATGGGGGAGGAGCTAACATGAGGCAGCGGTAGCTGGTGGGGGAAGAGGTGGCGTCAGGTTGGGCAGATCCGCTAAAGTAGGGACGCGTGGGGGTGGCGCGGACGTCAGGCGGCGGTGGGGGAGGAGGTAATGTCGGCGGGGTAGGAGGCGACGTGCGATGGCTTGGGCGAGCGACGGAAGCGAGCGCGAGCAGAGGCTGGGAGGGAGAGAGACAGGAACAGAGAGGCTGGGAGGGGAGGGGATAATACTTGGGCCCTTGGGGGGGGGGCTTACGGTGGGACCGTCGGAGACTTGGGCTGTTATTGGGCCTTCTCCTCTTTCTCCCCATTCTATGACCACTGATCTGCTATTTTTTTTCCTTTTCTTTTAAGTATTTACGCATATATTTAGCTACCGCCTAGGAAAACGCCTAGGCTCACCTAGGCCCGCCTAGGCTCTAGTCACTGCCTAGAGAGCGACTAGTGCCTTTTTGAATCTTGCTGGAGCCTTGACCCTAGTTATTTAAGAGGCAGGGTGGAAACAGCTTGAAGGAGGGAAGTGGAATGAAGAGTTGATAGATCTAGACTGCAGGAACTAACTTTTTTCTGTCTCACTGAATTCTGAACTGTGCATATTCTCTTGCTGTGTAGGGAGTGCCCTAACAAAGTAACAATTCAATATGCCCCTTAGCCATTTGGTCATGAAAAAGTGTCGCTTTTACATGTTATATATATACTATTACTAAAATAATCTCAACTTAGACTGATGGGTCATGACAGATGACACACCATCATAGTATGCTGATTTCCCATCACCTATCTGATAATAGTAGATGTTGAAACATTGCCTATGCTAACTATTTGTGCTCATGCGATTAGTCAGTTGTTTGGGCAATAGGTTAACTACTTGACATCGGAGATGCTAGGTTTACTATTATTTGAATTTCGACATCTGACATATTTGTTGAATAATATTTGTGTTTCTTTGTTAGCTTTTCGATACTTATGAAGCTGTTTCAGGGACTGATGAATTGTGTAGTGCTATTTTACCACCGTAGTGGGAAATTGCTGTTACTGATGTCACAAAGCATGCTATGAAAGCCCAGCTTAGTGTGCTACATCCAATATTTTGCAAGAAAAGTGTCTTCCTTCAAATGTTTGTATTTTGCATTTTCCTGAAAAGCCATGTTTCAAATTTCTTCATTTCTAGTGATAGCCTTTTCTTCCACTTCTTTCTTTGGTTGTTGTCACTGTCTGAACTATATAATGCATTTTGAAATACAAGTTACATATATTTTTTTATCTGCTTTCATAACAGGGAAATGCTTTTGCTACCGCTGGAAGAACGCCTGAAAAAATGGTTTACTGAGGTTAGATTGAGATGCTCGCATTTTAATGAATGCTTGGAACTCTAATAATTTAGAAAAAGAAAAAGTGAAGAATCTATCCATAATTGAAGTTGTTTTGTACCTTTTTGTTTACATTCATCTGTTTAAAATAGGCTTCAGAAGTAAATGAATTTGATGCTCTGAAGCACCTTGCTCCAACCTATTCAGAGGAAGAAATTTTGAAAGTGCTCCCAGGGTATGCATATTTGGTGCGTGGTTTATGGGTCTGCAAAAGTTCTTTGTTGTTTGATTATGGATATGCTTCCAAAAGAGAGCGAGTTGTCCTTGAATTTACAAAAAGGGATTCCATCCCTTTAAATATTATAGACGCATGGATCATAGTGGATGACCCTAAGAGGAAGAGGATACTGTCTCCATTGTGTAGAAGACGTGGAATTCTGAAGGACTATAAATTTATATCGGCAGATTTGTCCTTTCTAAAACGCTATCCTCATGTAGTCAATGAACAAGAGTGTGCTTGGTCTGCTCGTGAGATGACTATCCGTGAGTCCCAAGAAATGTGCACTACTGTGGCAAGGAAGACCAAGAATTCAGCCAGACCTAACCTTACTTGTAAAGGGCCTCATCCAAACATGAGCAAGGGCAGGGATGGCCCTTCTCAAGGAAGTGATGACCTTGTGCTGTCTGTTTTGGGTACTGTTTTCACTGCCAACAAAGTTCGCAGGTCAGTTCTTATAAATTAAGTCACCCTGGCTTTTCACCTTTTCTGATTCTGATTCACCATAAACATTTGTCGATCCAGTATCTTGCACCGAGTAAATTCATTCATTCAGTTCTAATTGCTTCCTGTACATTTCCCCCTTGATACTGCATCTTATTTAATCTTATGTTATGTCTTGGATAGGTGCCAAATAACAGTTAAATGGGATATAAAATGATATATGCCTGTGTTACTGCAGCATGCAGGCAATTGTTAGAGACTTGCGCCAGTTGGCTGCAAAATATGCTTCCAATAGAAAGGATGGATCCAAACTGCAAGCTCTGTCCAATGCTGCAAAATCTTGTGCATCGCTCCCTCCTGATGAGCTCAACAAATCGATTTGTCAAGTTGCTGTTCCTGTTCATAGTGTATTTGTTGCAAAGCATGAGGATAGGGGTGCTTTACGGTAATGCACTAAAGCGAATTTGAAAATGCATAGAATACCATTTTGAAATTTACAGAGCTATATATGTATTTATTCAAATTTTTTTGCTACAGAAACATATTCATTTTGCTCTTCAAACACAAAGAACCCAATGCAACATTGAACAAGCAGGAAATTCTTGCTGCTGCTGCGAAGCATATAAAAAGAGAGATTACTGACAGAGAGTACCATCAGGTGTGGAATGAAATCACTTGTTTTTTTTTTTGAAAACACAGGAGAGCTGCGTTTCATTGTATTATAGAGAATGAAAGGGGGGGGGGGCAACAGGATCCTCACTCATACGGGGACCAAATATGAATGAGGCGATTACACATACACAAGAATAAGACCCATAAAAACAAACCCAACACGACCTTAACTAGAAGGACCTAGTCTGAACAAACCTAGCCTTTCTAGCTTTTTCGCACCAGCCAAACACCAAAGGCTGTGCTCATTCTTCAGCTCACTCCAAATCAAGTTAATCGAAGGTGAGGCCCCCTCAAAAACACATGCATTTCTATGTTTCCAAATAATCCAGGCCCCAAGAATAATTAGAGAATTCACTTGTGCTCCTTGTTAACTCTGTTAATAGTCTTGCGCCACCAATCAGCAAAGCTTAGTTCGTTATGGTGGGGGACACAATCTGCTAGGTTCAAAATAGAAAATAATCTAAACCAAACTTGTCTTGCCACCACACAAGATGTTAACAGATGTTGTATTGTCTCATCTTCTTGATCGCATAGGGGGCATTTATCCGGATGAGAGAGGTCCCTCTTAGCGAGCCTGTCTGCCGTCCAACATCTATTACGGATTGCCAAACAGAAACATTTTGCATTTGCTTGGGGCCCAGGACTTCCATAACCGATGCCAAGGTTCAAAGGTCACAGCACCACAGAAAAACGCTTTATAGGCAGATTTGGAAAAGTAGCAACCACTTGAATCTAGCCTCCATGTGTGACGATCCTCTTGGTCGGGTTAAGGTAAATCCCAAGAGACAATCCCATAGCTGCAAGAATTCTCTAATACCAGTCCGGAAAGGCCTCCTTGAATATCTCTTGGCCATTGCACATTGGTGAGAGCTGCAGCCACAGATCCGGCTATTATTGTAATTCTAGGAGAAACACAAGCATAGACAGATGGCGCAAGATTTTCAATCGAACACCCGTGAAGCCACCGATCAGTCCAGAAAAGAGTATTCGACCATTCCCAACCTCGATCATGACTGCAATGGCAAAAAGGGCTAGCGAGTTAGAGTGCGAAGGCAGTTTCAGATCAGACCATGGACGATCAGCTTTAGTCTTTTTAAACCATTGCCACTGATTTGTAAAGCCAGGCCATCACCTCCAAGTTGGGTATGCCCAAGCCACCAAGATCCAATGGTCTCATGACCTTCTCCCAAGCCACCGGACAACAACCTCCATTAGCCTTATCCTTTCCTTGCCATAAGAAGCCCTTCGATTTTGTCTCTTGCCTTGATGAACCATTTCGGGAATGACGATGGCAATTAACAAATGAATAGGCATGGCAGAAAGAACACATCGGACTAATGTGGCACGACCAGCCATTCATGAGAGTTGCCTTCCAAAGACGGGAGTTTATCAGCTATTTTCTCAATCCATGGCATAAGGTCCCTCTTAAGAAGCTTTTGTTTGACGGTGGTAAGCCCAAATACTTGCATGGGAACACGAGAGATAGTACATGGCGAGAATATCATGAATAGCTGTCAAGGACTCTCCTGCACAACCGATGGGGATGATGTTACTTTTCCGAATATTGGTATGCAACCACAAGCGTCACCAAATACCTTGAGAATATCTCTAGTGACCAGCAACTCCTCTTCAATTGGCTTAATAAATATGGCAACATCATCATCATCTGAGAGAAAGTCTTTGTCCAGCCACCCTTGGGGATAACAAATGCAATGACCCCTCACTTGCTGCCTTTACAAATAAACATTCAAAGACATCCATCACTAAAATAAAGAGCATGGGGATAAAGGGTCCCCTTGTCGAAGACCTCGCCGATGATGTATTAGATCTCCGGTTCTCCATTCAACAAGATTTGAGTTGATGAAGAGGATAACATGATTGGCCACCAAATTGCGCCAAGAATTTCCAAAACCCAAATGTTGCAAAGACTTCTAAGAGAAAGCGGCCACGACACGAATCAAAAGCTTTGGAGATATCCAATTTAAGAAAGAGGCTAGGCACCTTTTGTCGATGTAGCACCTTAACTGTTTGCTGCACTAGAATGAAGTTATCATGAATGCATCTTCCCCGTACAAATGCACTTTGATTAGAAGAGACTAACGAGTCCAATAAGGGGGCCAGCCGATTAGCAAGAATCTTAGTTAAAAGTTAACCGAAGCTGTGCACTAGGCTAATGGGGCGAAAATCTTTCGCAGCCACCGCATCATTCTTCTTCGGAATCAGAGTGATATAAGCTGCATTTAACAGTCCAAGCCTCCTTGCTTGACCTTGCTGAACCGTGATAATTGCCGCCATGAGATCTTCTCTAATAACCTGCCAACATGCCTTGTAAAATCTGCCAGTATACCCATCTGGACCTGGGGCTCTATCTGATGGCATAGACTTGATAGTTTCCCAAGCTTCTTCCTCCATGATTGGATTATCAAGAGCTGACAAATCCATAGAATTCCGATGAAAGAATTGCAGGTCTAAGGACGCAGTTCGGATCGGGGCTGAACCTATCAGATTATCATAAAAATCATACAATATCCTATGTTTATCCTCCTGGGAAGTGACAGTCCGATCACCATCTATGAGTTTGGAGATAAAAATTTTTCTCTTCCGAAAAGCAGCCTGCTTGTGGAAGAAGGATGTATTAGCATCACCCTCCTTTAGATACCTGACCCGGGAACGAAGTCTAGCAACAGTTCGTTCTAAAGACGCTAACTTCAGGCAAAGTCGCTTCAATTCCTTTCGCAGCCAGTCCTCTCCAATGGATAGAGTCCTCCTATCTTGGGCCACTTCCAGCCTATGCAACACTTCACGATCACTGTCCTCTTGTCCTTGGTCTTAAAGTTGGTGTCAAGGGTAGGAGGCGTTTTCATTTTGAAAGTTTCTGGACACGCCTTCCTAGATTCCTTGACATGGTAAAGAGTTCTTGGGATGAACCAGTTCAGACATCTTGCCCTCTGGAATGTTTCTCCATCAAGCTGAAGCGATTAACTCGTGCTTTGCAATCCTGGGGCGCAAAAAGAGTTGGACACATAAAAACTCAACTTGCTCTAGCTCGTGAAGTGTTGCATAGGCTGGAAGTGGCCCAAGATAGGAGGACTCTATCCATTGGAGAGGACTGGCTGCGAAAGGAATTGAAGCGACTTTGCCTGAAGTTAGCGTCTTTAGAATGAACTGTTGCTAGTTTTAATGCTGCTTCATTGTGTATCGCTCAACAACTAACTTGGTGCATTAATGGAATGGTGTGGGAATTGCCCGCAATATTGTTACAATGCAAAATATTACCATGTAGATTCATCTAGTCATCCCATGTAATCACTGATGAAGATGCAGTAGAAAATTATTTGAAACATAACAGCCACAATCCTTTGTATCAGAATTTTGTGCTCTAAAGTTCTGATAAGTAGTGCTTTTTTAAAAGGAAGTACATTTATTAGTAGTTTTGACTTTTTTTTGTTAGCAACAGGTTTCATGGTATATCAGTTCTAATGTTTAAAGTTTTGACATGCATGGGTAACTTTAACACGCTTTGGTTACTTTTAGGTTGTGACTGAGATCTGCGTTTCTACTGAACGCTTGCAATTGAAAAATGGTGATGAGCCCTGAGTTCACTATGATATGCCTTGTAAAGGTCCAAGTTGGACTTTTTAAATGAAGGTATGTTTACTTTTCTTTTATATATAGAAATTCTAGTTAACTGACAATAAATCATGTGAAAAGTGAATATGGTAATGAACCATACCATAAAATGAAATATGGTACCTGATAATCTATTAAACTGAGGACCATTTGTCCCAACTTTCCTCTACCATAAGATGGAAGTGAGACCTTACCTGGAAAAGTCTGTCAATTCTTATATCATTTTGTTGTGAAATGGAATGTTACGGAGTGGGCGGTGAGGAGATCGCAGGGGAGAGTGGAGGAGTAATCGGGACTGGGAATTGGAGCGCAAAGGGTAGCGAGGCAATGGCGCGGTGTGGATCTCACCGGCGGCAGCCGCTGAACCGCGTGTAGCCACCGTCGAAGGGGAAACCCACCCGCCTAGGGAGGTTTATTCCTTCTTCGATAAATCCTGATCACAATTCCTAAGTGCCCTTTATAATCCAGGTGCACTCCCTAACAAACTGTGAATGAATCTCCTAAAAGTCCTCCCTAATTGCTCTCTTTCCATAACTGCCGCAGCAGCCTAGCCACTGGTCGTTGTGGGACGCCTGGTCCGGCGCCTATAGTGGCGCCCGACAAAGGAGTCCACAACATGGAACTGAGATGTCACCTGACAAGATCTGGCAACATTGAGAATGTGTTGTCATTATGTCACCGCATGGATTACAAAAGCCAACCATTTACTGGTTTATTTACCAGGAGGTAGCTGTGGCAACAACTGGAGACATGTTTTGAGCTACCTTTTCATTCATCTAGTTAGTATATGAGCTGCTCTCTTGTGTATTCTACTAAAAAGTATCTAGTTAGTATGAGTAGATATTTTCGTACACCCTTGTGGGCTTCACATGACGTGTTGGTTGACATGGTGTGATTGTAGCAGATAAAACTGGCAATAGCAGAGATCTCGAAACTTTAGAGGGTACTGCCAAAAATAAGCAAGAATTTAAATCAGTAATAATAATGCTAGCAGAGTAGAGAGGTATTTGTATCACTAGCAAAGCAGAGAGCAGCACCATAATACCAGCGCAACCTCTTAGGCAAAGGAGCTATTGGTGACTTCTACACTCAAGTAGCACCAGCACCTTTGTCAGCACCAGCATCTGTTCTTAGGCAAAGTCCCTCCAAAAGTGCCAACTTACTAGAGAAAAAAACAATGTTTGGTTTGTGAGTTGTGACAAAGCAAAACCAAAATTTGTGTCCATTTTGCTGGGTTCAGTTCATTAGGCTCTAAACCAAACACATTGCCAATCTTTTATGGTTTCACCTGCAGGGTTAGGTGAAAGTTGGGCCTGGGGTTTTGAATTTTTACCAGACCCCATCAACAAGGCTGGTTATCTCTTCAGTTATTAAATTCAACTCATCAGTAAGGCTAGCTATCATGTAGCTTTGGTTCTCCAATTCAGCTTTTCATAAACTCAGTCTCGTGAGGAGTTATGAATAGGTCTTGTGAGCAGTTGTGAATAGGTGGTGGAGTGAGCAATGATATTGGTCTTTGATCTTAATTTGTGTATTACAGTTACAGTTAACAGGGTCCAAATAAATTAGTTTCTTTGAGAAAATTCCGTGTGTGCCACAGAATGATTCAATAATGCCGAACAAGCCGCCGAAAAATTGGTCTGAACATGAGTGCCATCGAGAATTAGTTTACATTCTATGAGTGCCACTACTGTCAACACCGTCAGGTTAGCTGCCGTCAGCCCAGTTTGGAGTTTCTTCTTTTTTTGAGAAATCCCCATTTTGCCCTTGCCGGTGAACTGGGCGATGTTGACAGTCATGAAGGCCGACCAGTTCATCTCGGATTGCTCCCATAGTGAAAAAAGACTCTTGCACAAAACCCTAGGGTGAGTGACTGCGCCGGTTCCCAGGCGGCGACAACATATCTCGGCGGCGGGCGGGCGGCTTCTCTGAAGCAGCGGCGGTTCCCCGGCGGCAGTGGGCATTTCCAGGCGGTGGGCTCGCGTCCGGTGGTGGGCGGTTCCCAGGCGGCGGGCGGGCTGTGGCGGTTCCCCGGCGGCAGTGTGCGTTTGCAGGCGGTGGGCTCGCGTCCGGTGGCGGGCGGTGGACAGGCTCCTGGTGGGGATTTGAAACCCGCGTACGCGACGAACACGAACACCAGGTAGCCTGTGTCGTTGCCGCGGGCGTGGTGATGGGTTAATGTAACATGAGATTTCGTGAAATTTCAGTGAATTTTTTTAACTCAGAACATGTATTTTTCTAATGAAATATTTTACTCCACCAGCTTCTTGTTTACAGTACTTCGTACTTAGCGAGAGGCTGAATTTTGCTGCACTTCAGAATTTAGATCATCCAAAAATAACAATATTGACATAACATGTAGTGGCACACATAGAAACTGAATTTTGCTGCACTTCACTATGAACCAAGGGCATAAACGTCTTTGTACACTAGACATAACTGTTGTTTCACCATCTATGGACGGCAGTGGCACTCAGAACATAAACCAATTTTCGGTGGCACTCGTGTCCAGACCAATTTTTCGGTGGCTTGCCCGGCATCGTTGAATCATTCGGTGGCACACACAGAATTTTCTCAATTTCTTTTGGCTGATTAATGCTGCTACTGACTACTGATGGAAATTCATAAACCTGGTTACAACTTCGCCACGTTTCCACCTATCATTTCGCCAACACTGACTGCAATCAAAACTACCTTTTCTATCGACTTCAAATTTGTCAGGAAATGCTAATAATGGTTCTTTATTTGCTCCGTTCGGTTTGCTGAAACTAGCTGAAAACACTGCTCTGGCTGAATTGTTGTGAGAGAAAAACACTGTTCCCGCTGAAAAAACAAACTGAATAAGCCGGTTTCTGGGTAAGCCGACAGAAGATTTTTACAGCTGACCTAAATGTCAGCCCTCATCGTGTTACCTATCCTACTTACATATTTTTGGGTGTTATTATATATATAATATATTGGTCTGCTGAGCTATATTGGTATGTTGTTTCTAGTTTATTTTTGTCTGGAATTTGTTTCTTGTATAGTATGAACCTTTAATCCAATAACTTAATCTTATTTTGTTTATTCCAACAGGGTATTGCAAGGTTGGGTTAGCAAACTCAGTACATAACCAGTCAGTCTAAATTAATCATTATTCATAGTTTCTGCCACATTTTGCGCTCGGTCTTACCATGGTTACAAATTCTTTTCATGGAAACAAGGTTTCTGAAAAAGCTAGGGATTTTGCCACATTTGGAAGCTGCTGTTGCCACGGTTGAAATGATATTTCTGTGGGTTGACAATGTTGCCATTATGTATACTTTTGCTGCTAATTATTATCGGTTTGAAACGTACCACTTTTACTTTTGGAAGAATTGCACTCAAGTTTAAACTTCCATCTTTTTAGTTCTGGTTGTTTATTTATCTGTTGACCGTTTCCCTCCTGGTGGTAATGGCATGCCCAAGAAAATGATTTTTTTTCCCTATTACTTTCCAAGGTTGGTGAACGCTAATGACAGCACATTTCGAGCTCCCTGTGACGTTCATGTCAGCCCTAAATTAACAATAGAACAACCATTTCTGCTGAGTCCAGCCGAAAACTCGACAGCTATTTCTGCTGAGTGAAGCCGAAAACTGTATAGCTACAGATTGTAATTTTACAAGTGTACCTTTTCTGTCACAGTAGCGGCATTTGCACATGCGACACGAGCGACAAGTCAAAAACTACATAAGGAAAAGATTTGGCAATCTTCAATCTTTCACTCAAAACAGTTCACAAGCGCTCGTGCATGAACTTGGCATGTTACTCATGTTAAAGCGTGAATGTAAATAAACAAAATTTGGAAGAACTATTGCTTTCATTGATCTTTGAAATATATTTATACAAGTGAAGGAGTGTTACAAAAGACATGTTAGGACTAAAACTAACTGTCTAATCCTATCCACTAATCCTGTGCTTGATGGATGAGATCACTCGTGAAGAGACGTATGTTTGTCTATAGACGTCTGTTCACGTATAGGTGTTGATTCACAACACTCTCCCTTATCAAATCTTTCTCGAGATCAATGTAGCTGTAAGCTGAAACTCCTTGAAAAACCCTATGTATTTTTTTAGGAATATATGGATATGTTATAAAAACTCCTTTAAACTTTATTAGAAAATAAGGAGAAAATAGCATATTTGTTTGTGTGGTTTAAATAAGCCACTATGTCATTGATATCTCATTAAAAACCCAGGGGAAAAAAAATATTAGAGATACAACATAAAGATAACTCCTCAAAGCCTTTCACGAAAAATGTGAGGAGCGATATAAAGTGATATGCCGCTAAAACTTCTGTAAAAAGTTAGTGGAAAAATTAAGAGAAAATATGACGACATATTATTAGTATTGTCTCTTGGATAATTCACATGAAAAACCTTTTCATGAAAAAACCATGGATAAATTGTGAGCACAATATGTCTCTTTGATATTTTCCAAAAAAAAACCCCGGTGGAGAAAATAGAAAATATAACATATGCTTATGTTAATATTACCTCGTTAAAAACTTTAACAAGAAACTTTGTGAGTAAAACATGTGAAAGAAAAGAGTATAATATGATACTGGTACATGTTAGCATTTAAGAGATGTCTCCTCCTGATCCTTACAAATTTTGAAGTCGTCACATACCAATCTTATGTACAAATTTTTCAAACATAGATATTGGTAAGAACTTAGTAAATAGGTCAGCGAGATTATCGCATGACTTAATTTGCAAGATGTTATTTCCCCTGCTTTCTCGTAATTCATGGGGATAAACTAGCTTAGGGGTAATGTGCTTAGTGACATTACTCTTATGTAACCTGTTTGCATCTATGTAACGTAAGTAAAATTATCTTTATAGATAATTATAGGTGATTCAATCAAACCATTACCACATGACTGTTGTATGTGGTTAATCATTCTGCGAAGTCATACACATTCATGTGATGCCTCGTATAGAGCAA